TGTGTTGAGCATTTCTGTTGTTTACAAGATTTGGCTATGACATATTGTGTGTACCCATTTTGGATTGAGTCTTTGAATTTGAGATGCCTGATTTTTTTTTTTTTTTTTTTTTTTTTTTATTTTTTTTTGTTTTTTTTTTTTTTTTTTTTTTTTTTTTGGTTCTATATATGTTCTAGATAAAAGTCCTTAGTCTGAGTATTTGTAATTAGGATTCTTTCCCAATTTGTAGGTTGTCTTTTCACTCTGTTGGTGATTTATTTTGACACGCAGAAACTTCTCAATAAGACGCATTACCAGTTATTGATACTTTGAGGTATTTTTCATGCACTTTGATTTTTGTACATGAGCTCTCCGCCAATCCCTTTGTCTTCAATATTTTCACCTGACTGCTTTCAGAAAAAAAGCAGAGGTAGCTATTCTGTTTGCAGACCATCTTAACTTTAAACCAAGAATTTTAAACCAGAATTTTTATTTCTGGGAATGTTTTGTGAGTTTGATTTTAGGTAACCGTATTACTGTAGTCTGAGCCTCTCTCTAAAGAGGCTCTTCTTTAGGAATCACTTCTGTGTCAGAGATTCTTGTTTTGTTTTGTCCCAAGATTTACCTTCTCAACTGAGATTTGGACATTACTTTCCATTCTGCACTATCCTCCACCCTTTGATATAGGGCTTTAGCCATTATATTACATAAGTGTCTCCTGATATTATTACTGAAAGGAGAATATGTGTTTAAAGCAGATATAGTATTTTAGTTATATTAATACATTAGTAAAATAGGCAGTATTCATAACAGCAAGTAAAATTTGGTTATTAACAAACTGTTGTAACTAATGGTTTCGTATTTTAGATCACAGAAGCAAAGTAGATCATCAAGTAGGAATTTGTACATAAACTATTTCCTTTGAGTCCTGTCTGGCACTTCTGCTTCATGTACTTGCATTCTTCCAGGCACAGTAGTTCACATAAGTTCCTGTCTGTCACCTTTGTGTTGCAAAGATATTCCTGTAGGTCTGGGCCTCAGACTGGACCCCACTGGGCCTAGAAGTTTGGATCAGTTCATGAGGCCAAGCTACAGGTCTCAGCCATCTGCTGAGTAGCATGCCATCAAACTTCAAACTATGCTGTGAACTCTGCCCATCAAGACTCTACCTGCCTGGACAACTCCATCTGCAGGGCTGAACCGCATCAGCTGGGCTGCATCTCAATTTCTCTGAGCTTCTTAATTCTGTCCACCAGCCCAAACTCCATCCTCTAAGCTAATATAAAAAGTTTGGAAGTATGGCCATTTTCACAATCTTATTTTTTCCTCTCCAGGAGCAGAGTATTCTTTGAATTTTCTGAAATACTCTGTGATCTCTTTTCTTAGAGTACTCTAGTTTTCACTGTATAAACCTTTACTTCCTTTCTGAGATTAATTTCTAAGTATTTCTTTTGCAATTTTCTGTAGGTTTTCTTTATCATGAATGAGTGATGGACTTTGTCAAAAACTTTTTCTGCCTCTATTCAGATGATCATGTGATTTTTGTGTTTGGTTATTTTGATGTGGTGTATTACATTTATGGATTTACATATATTGAAACATCCCTGAATTCCTGGGATGAATCCCATTTGGAAATGGTGCATCACATTCTGATGACTTGCTGCATCATGTTTGCTATTTATTTATTTATTTATCTATTTATTTTAGGATTTTGGCATCTATGTTCATTAGGGAGATGTTGGTCTACAGTTTTCTTTCTTAGTTGGGTTTTCTCTAATTTTATTATCAAATAATACTTGCCTCCAGGAATGAGATTGGGTGAAAAATTTCCCTTTAAATTTAATTGAAGTGTTTGAGAAGAGTTGGCATTAGGTCCTCACTTAATTTCTTGCAGTATTCAGGTGTGAATCCATTAGGACCTGGGATCATGAGTTAATCTCAAACTCTAGAAGTCCTCACCCCATGACTGCATGAGGTTTTGGGGGGACAACTACATACAAACCATAGGACCATTGTTTTTGTTTCTGCTCTGATTTTTTATAATTTCCTGCCCCCATTGGGCTTCGGCTTGATCAGCTTTTCTTTTTGTAGGAGTTTTATGTGCAGCATAAGATTGTTCATTTGGGCTCATTCTGTTTTCCTGATGTGAAAATTTATTGCTATAAATTTCTCTTTTGAGACAGCTTTGATTGTATCCCACAGGTTCTGGTATGTTGTGTCAGTATTTTCTCTTGGTTATAAATAATAATCAGTTTCTTCTTTAATTTCATCTGTGACCCATTGATTAGTCAGGCAGGTATTATTTAGTTTCCACTGTTTATAGAGCTTTTGCTTGTTTTTTTTTTTTTTTTTTGGTTAATAATTTCCAGTTTCATTGCACTATGGTCACATATCATGCATGGGATAATTTTAATACCTTTGCATTTACTTAAGAATATTCTATGTTCTAGCACATGATTTTTTTTGGAAGAATGTCACATGTCAGCTGAGAAGAATGTGTATTCTTACGCTGTTGGGTGGAATGCTCTGTAAAGAGCTACTAAGTCCATTTCTTGACAAGTTTATTTTAGTTATTTTTTATTTGTTTGCTTATTTTTTTGCAAGGTTCCCTATTACTTTTATATTACTGCTCACTCTATTTTTCATGTATGTTAAAATTTGTCTTATATAGTTGGGTACTCCTACATTTGGTGCATCCTTTTATAATGGTTAAAATTTCATCTTGCAGTATTCTCCTAGCAAGAATGTAATGTCCTTCTTTATCTCTTTTAATCACACTTGGTTTGAAGTTGACATTTTCAGCTACCAGAATAGCAACCCCTGCTTTTTTTCTGGGCTCATGTCACATGGAGTATTGTTTTCCATCCTTTGTTGTTCAGCCTATTAATATCTTTTTGTCTTAAATGTGTTTCTTCTATGCAACATATTTTTGAATTTTGTTTTTTGATACACTCTGTCAGTCTGCTTCTTTTGATTGGTGAATTGACCCCACTTATGTTAATAGTTATAACTGATATGTACTGGCTTATCATTGTCACATAGTTTTACTATTGTAGGATGTCTATCTTTCCCCTTTGATTAATTATTTGTTCTGACTGGTGGTTCTTTTCTGTTATTTTTGAAGCTGTGGTCCTCTTTGTCTCGTTCTACAATATCTGTCAGTACTCTTTGTAGAGTTGATTTGGCTACGATTAATATCATCATTTGTCATTTGTTTATCTAATTGCTCCATTAAATTTGGTAAATAGTTTTGCTGGATATATCAGTCTGGGTTTAAAGTTGTTTTCTTTCAGGACCTCAAATATGTTACATTAGCTGTTCTTGATTTGATGGTCTATGTGTGATTTTGATATGCTTTCTTCATAGGTGATTCGATTTCTCTATCTAACAGCTTTTAGATAGAGAAAACAGCAGTATTTTGTTCTTTGGTTCAGTATCTGAGTTATCAATTATTATGTCTTTGTGTAGATTTATTTTGTTTATGTCTATTTGGTGTGCTATATGCCTCACTTAAACTTATGACTGATTTTATTCTCATGCTGGGAAAATTTCTGCTACTACTTCTGCAAACAATCTTTTAATGTCATTTGGGATTACTCTTGCTGTTTTGTTGACATCTATTAGTCTCATATTGTTTTACTTGGCATCACCTTGCAGCTGTTGTATTGTTATTTCCTGGTTTGTTACTTATAAGAGATTTTTCCTTTTCTGTTACTAGCTGCAATGCTATTTTCAATGTGTGAAATTTTTGTCTTCTATTTTGTTCAGGTGGTTTTGCCAGATTTCAATGGAATTCTTAATGCCCTGGATATATTTTTCAATGTGTTTTATGCATTCTTGTTCTTCCCTGTATTGTTCATTCAATTTTTTCGTCATTTTTCTGTTCCCCTCTATTTTTTATTCTGTCTTCCACACATGTATCAAACAATTCTTCCATACTTGTTGTCATTAACTATTTTACCTGTAAGATTGTTTCTGTTCTGATTTCCTCCATAACCTGATGGAGTTGTTTCTTAGTTTCTATCATCTCAGAAATTTAAGTGTGTGACTTTCAGGTTCTTCTATGACATTGTCTTTTGGACTTGTTTTGGGTGGGCTAGAAGTCTGAAATTGTGCTCTGTTTTTTCTTTTTTATCATTTTTAAAGCTCACTATATTCTCCCTGACTCTGAAGCAGTGATATGCTGGTGGGGTGCAGGTTCTCAGGAGAACAGGAGTGCAGGGTAGGCTCAGAAAAGCTCATGCTGCGTGGTGTTCAATTTGGCTTCAAGCTTGGTTTGGGGGAAAGCCTCAGGTCAAGAAGGATTCATTATGATGTATGCAGGCCAATGATTTGCAAGGCTCTCCTGATGCTGGGTCTCACAGGGTAGAGCTCCCCAAGTCTCTTGCAGGTCCCTGTGGTGATGATGTCTTCCTAGCTGTATTCACGGGGAGGATGGGTGGCCAAGCTCAGCAGAATTCTGGTGGGATGGGTGGGTGGTCAAGGTTAGGGCTTTCAGTCTCCCTGGTGGTCTTCAGGACAAGGAGGAGTGCCTGGGCTCAGTGGAAATCTGTCAGGATGGCTGGGTATGAAGGACAATGGTACTAAGACTCCCTAGAAATCTTCCGTATGAAGACAGGCAGCTGGGCTAAGTCGAACTCCCCTTTTAATTTCTTGTTGCTTGAATTTGACTTTCTGTCTTCTTTCTTATAATTTTGGCTAGAGATTGATCAATTTTATTCATACTTTCAAAGCAACAACTCCTTGAATCATTTATTCTTTTATTATTTTCTTGATCTCCTTTGCATTTATTTCTGCTCTAATGTTTATAATTTCCTACCTAATTTGGGCTTGACTTGGTTTTTTCTAGGAGCATGAAATTATTTATTTGGGTTCCCTCTGTTTTCCTAATGTGCACATTTACTGCTATAAATTTTCCCCTTAAGACAGCTTTTATTGTATCCTATAGGTTTCAATATGTTATATCTTCATTTTACTTTAATTGCAATAATTGTTTAATTTCTTTAATTTACTTGTTTTACGAGCATGAGATCATTTATTTGTGTTCCCTCTGCGATGTACTGGTAATTACGAGATTGTTATTTAATTTCCATGTGTTTATGGTGTTTTTGTGCTTTCTTTTGTCAATAATTTGTGGTTTCATTGCACTGTGGCCAGATAGCACACATGGGATAATTTTAATTCATTTGAAATTACTTCAGCATGTGTTACTATACGGTCTATGTTGGAGAGCTGAAAATATATATTCTGACATTGCTGGATGAAAAACTCTTGAAAAGTCTCCTTAAGTCCATTTCTTCACAAATTTAGTTTAGTTCTGTTCTTTCCTGAATTTTTGCATAATTGATCTATATTTTTGTGACACAGCATGTTAAAGTTCCCCATTATGATTGCATTATTGTTCATTTGATTTTTCATGTCTGTTAAAGTTTGTTTTATATAGTTGGGTATTCCTAAATTGGGTTCATATATATTTATGATTGTAATCTCTTCATCTTGCAGTTTTCCCCTACAAGTATATAATAACTTTATCTCTTTGAATGACTTTTGGTTTGAAGTTGATGTTGTCAGCAACCAGAATAGCTACTCTTTTTTTGGGGGGGAGGGGGAAAGGGTTTCTGTGAAATGAGGTTTTGCCTGCTTTCCTTGGAATTCTTAATTTCTTAGATATCTGTTTGAATCTATTCTATGCATTCTAATTATTTTTTGTATTGTTCATTTAATATTTCCATCATTTTAAATTTTTCTCTATTTTTGTCTATATATGCTTTAGATATGCTAAATAATTCTTTCAGGATTTTTGTCATTTCTTCTTTGACTTGAGATATGATTTCTGATTTATTTCAACTTTAGCCTGTTGGACGTGTTTCTTTATTTCAGCTGCTGTCATTTCAGGAATTTCAGGCATGTGTCTTCCATCTTCCTCTATGTCCTTGTCTTCTGGACTTGTTAAGGGTGATATACTGGATTTGGATTATTTTATACTCCTTCCTTTTGGCATTTTTGAAGCTCCAAATGATCACCTGGATTCAGCAGGGGTGGGGAGTGACTGGGTGTGTCTCAGTAAGATGCTCACTACAGTGGTGGGACTAGGTTAAGACTCATCAAGGCTTTCGTTACTGATGGTGGGAATCTGCTTATGCTCAACAAAACTTTTACACAGATGGCAGGCACGGGTGAGATTCACAGGACCTCAAATCATCTGGGTGTCCACCTCAGTTCTCAGATGGTGCAAACACAGCAGTCACCTTGTGTTGGTGGCCCATGGGGCTAAGCTCCTCTGTTAATTTTTCTGTAAGCAGTTTTTGCTTCATTTGTGCTGTCTTTGGATTTTTGTGTATTCAAATAAATCCTAAATTACTGTTTTTCAAGTTATCTTACTAGGTTTGAATAATTTTTTATGTTTATGTATTTTTAAGACATCTTTATGTATCTGTTTTCCTAGTTCAGATCTATCTTTTAGTTCTGCTTCTTCCCTGTATTCACTTTCAGGTTCATAATTTCATAATTTTTTCCTCTGAAATTCTGTTTGCTACCTATTTCATGGATTCTATTTATTTTTTTTTTTGAGAACTGATCACTCATGTTTCTCATCATTTGACTTACATCATTTAGCTTTTTATTAGCATCTTCAATAAGTTAATGGTGATTTACTAAGTCCATTATGTTTGTTGTGTCATATTTCATGCAGCTTCCCCAAAGCCTTTTGAATTGCTTTTTTTTTTTTTTTTTTTTTTTTTTTTGTCTCCTCTTTTGTCATTTCATACAATGCAGCTTTTGGCAAAGATTTTCTCTTCATTGTTGATCAGTAGAACAGCTCTGATGAAGTTGGATATTTTCATGGTCATGTCTTCTTACATTGTGTGTGTGTGTGTGTGTGTGTGTGTGTGTGCCTACTGAAGTTTGCTTGTTGTCTATATTG